GGACACTGAGTTCAGCTCAACAGCGATGTCACATACGAAAGGAAAGCCGAGACCAGGTGACTCGCAAGGTGAAAGGTCAGTGTCCTCCAGGGATGGGGCATCAGAGGTGTCCTTCAGAAGCCCTTTGCACTGCATGGCCGCCACGCTATGGGGACACTCGCTAGCCACCCCATGAGGCAGCAGTCACCCGGCTGTGGTCCCAGCCCCTCAGAGCTTCTGAGCTGATGGGAAGACGCACACAGGGGAAACTGAACCACGTCCAAAAACTGAGAGTGAGAGGAGCCAGCAAGCAGGGGGCCCCCCTGGGTGGTCTTGCCCCCAGGGGACACTGGGCGATGTCTGGGGACATCTGTGATTGTCACACTGGGGGAGCTCCTGGCATCGAGTTGGTGGAGACCAGGGATGCTGCTCAACCCCCTACGGGACCCAGGACGGCTCTGTCCCAGGGAATGCCCAGCCCTGATGTCATAGAAGGTGAGACCCTACTACGGGTCCTCAGTCTCACTAGAACGTTAGCTCCATGAGAGCTGGGGTTTTGCTCATCCTGGTGACTGCTGTGTCGCCAGAGCCTGGCCCAGGCAGACACTCGGAAGTCCTTGCCGAGGGAACAAGTGAAGTCTTTTTTTTTTTTTTTTTTTGGTGAGGAAGATTGGCCCTGAGCTAACATCTGTTGCCATTCTTCCTCTTTTTTTTTTTCCTCCCCAAAGTCTCAGTACATAGTTCTATGTCCTAGTTGTAGATCATTCTAGTTCTTCTACGTGGGACGCCACCACAGCATGGCTTGATGAGCGGTGCTAGGTCCACATCCAGGATCGGAAGTGGCGAGCCCTGGGGCCGCCAAAGCGGAGTGCATGAACTTAACCACTCGGCCCCAGGGCTCGCCCACCAAATGAAGTCTTTGAGAAGGTCACCACGTGTCCCACCGAGCCAGGCAGTAACGACCCACATCACTGTACTCGAAGGTGTGACACAGGCTGAGACAGGGGGACACAGAGCAGATTCCACACCAGGAGGCCCGAGGGGGCTTCCGAGGGGTGAGTCCCAAAGGAGGGGCTGCGTGGGGCCGGCCTGGGGGAGACTCCACGTGGCCAGAGCCACCAGCCCTCGCTCCAGGCGATGGAGGGAGAGTCCAGAGACAAGACCCCATCCTTTGGGGCGGCAGAGCGGCAGCCGGGCACCCCACCTCCACCCTTTGCATCTTCACTTCCCCGGCCACACGGCCATGCCCTGGTCCAGGGTGGGGTTGGGGGGTGTGGGCACCCTGAACCCCATAAGGTTGCAGAACCCGTGCTTTCCGTCTCCCTCCTACACCCAACAGTCGGGGCCGGCCGGCTGACGCTGGTCCTCACGGGCAGAGGCTCCAGGTCTGCGTGCGAGGCAGGGGGGCCCCCTGGAACAGGGGACTCTCGGGGCTGAACTGGAATGTTCCGGAGAACAGGGATGGGATGGTCACAGGGTTCTAAGAGGGGCGAGGGGTAGACTGGAGACACCTGGGGCGCCCACCTGCACCCACCCAGCATCTCCATCCACACCTGGCTCAGGGCCGGGCCCCGCTGGAGACCCATGGGCCTCCTCCGCCCCCTGGTGGCCGCCAGAGGGAACTGCAGTGCTCTGCCGCCCGTCCCCCAGGAGCCCCAGACTCCTGCTCATCTTTCAGCGCCCCGTCTGCAGACATTCAGAGCAGCGGATCAGAGCCTGGCCCTGTCACCGGGATGAGCGGCGTGGCCCCAGTCGGTGACACCCCAGTTCTCCTGGAGAGGCGGCCCGCCCCCCCCAGCCACGGGTGACCCCAGCTAGAGTCTTGCATGACTTGCGCAGCCTTCGTCTCGTCCCCTGTAGGGCAAAGAGGAGCGCCAAAGCTGCCCCGGGGCTGCCAGGGAGCCGAGCGCGAGGAGGCCTGCAGACACCCAACACGGTGCATGGAAAACAGGATGCACTTGTCGAGCGAGTATTAAACTGGAAAACAATCAGCAACAGCCTGGACTCCCGGCTTCGAGGATTTCCTCCGGGAGACAGTAGGCTCCTTTGGAAGGAGAACCCCAGCAAGACCCCCACGCAGCACGCGGGCCAGCTCAGCCCTCTCCCTCCAACAGGGTCTGTCCCCATCGGCACTGCCAAGTCATGGTCTGGGGGGCCGTCCTGGGCGCTGTGGGGGGTTGAGCAGCATCCTCGGTCCCCACCCACTTGATGCCAGGATGCCAGATGTCACCCCCAGTCGTGACAACCACAGGCGTCCCCAGACATGGCCCGGTGTCCCCTGGGTGGGCGTAGGGGGTCAGAATCACCCCCAGGTGAGACCCACCAGCACAGCTGAATTTCAAAACAGCTCAAAGATCGAGTGTAAAATGTGCCATCTGGAGCCAGCCCTGATGGCCCAGTGGTTAAAGTTCGGCGCTCTCTGCCTCGGCGGCCCGGATTCAGTTCCCGGTCACAGAACCACCCATCTGTCAGCAGCCGTGCTGTGGTGGCGGCTCTCAGAGAAGAACCAGGAGGACTTACACTATACACAAGTACATACTGGGGCTTTGGGGAGGGAAAAAACAAAAAAAAAGAGGAAGATTGGCAACAGATGTTAGCTCAGGGTGACTCTTCTCCAGCAAAAAAAAAAAAAAAAAAAAAAATGCAGTGTGAACAAAATACAGGTGAATTGTTTTTTATCATCTTGAAATTTGGAAGACGGCCACACAAAATACAAAGGAGGACGCAGGTGTACACAAAATGTTTAAAATCCCCTACGGCGAAACCGGCTGTAAGCCAGGCGCAAAGACGCACTCAGAGAGATGCTCACCGTGTGGGTGACAGACAGCAGACGGTGTCCCGACGGAGAACAGAGCAAGTTGAAGTTCACATGCAAGTGTGTGTGAAGAGCTCGAACGAATCCGTGAGGGAGGGAGACCCCAGTGGAAAGGTCAGTAGAGAGCACAGCCGGGCCGTTGGCAGGAGAAACACCCGAGAGAAAAGGCTGACACCACGAACAACCGCAAGACCCCGACAAAGCAGCTGAGATCGTCCTGGCCGGTCAGACTGGCAAAGACATCAAACTGTAGCTGGGAGGGTGGGGAACGGGCCTGGGGTGGGAAATGTGCGTTTCTGGGGGTCCCGGTGGCTGCAAGTCAAAATGTCAATGAGAACACCCCGATATAAACACACACACCCCACAAACCCACTTACAGGAATTGACCCCAAACTACAACCAGCCAAGGATGAAAGATGTACAAAGTCTGTGCAAGGACGTTCATCCCAGGTCATAGCAAAAGAAAAACGAAAAGAAAAGAAAAGAAACATTTCCAAAAAACCCACAAAGAGACCAGTTAAATCAATTATAAAATTACTTAAGAAGAAATCACAATTCCCTTATAACGTGGAATGTTAAACCAGCGTAGGAAAGATGAAGGAATCCAGGTTTATTGACAAGGAAAGACGCGCATCAAGCAAATGGGCACATTAAAGAGAAAATCCAGTTTATCTAAAATCAAGTGTGTGTGTGTGTCTGTGAATGCACTTCACAGAGAGATTGGGGGGGGACGCTCCCCAAGATGTCGGCAACCATCATTGTCGGGTGGGCATTTTGGGTGACTTCATCTTTCCTCTTTAATTGTCTGCATTTACTGTCTCTTCTTACGGGAAGTCCACCTGGCGTGGGCACTGAAGAGAACTGCTGAGCAGGGCTCGCTCGTCACGCACGCCACGCAGACACAGACGCCCTGCCCAACCTCGCTCGCCAGCCTCCCAGCGGTTTGCCAGACTCCCAATCTTGGTTGGCAACTTTGCAAACCAGAGTTCACGCTTGAAATCTATGTTGGACCCAGGCTCAGCATAAACAAGTCAGTCGGAGACCAGGGCTCCGATCTCAGCTTTTGGTCTCTGTCCCCGGGGACGGCTTCTCTCCCAAGCTTAGCTAAAATATGTGTATTTTAATTTCACTGCGGCGCACTTTACCTGTTACAAAATTCCCCGGTTTGAAGCGCACAGCTCAAAGATCCTTTAGCGAGTTCGCAGGGCTGTGTGGCCATACCCGCCACACCATTCTGGACCCGTTCCTTCACCCCACAAGCTTCCTGGTACGAATCCACAGCTAGTTGCCTTCACACCCCAGCACCTAGCAACCACCAATCACCTTTCTTGCCCTACAGATCGGCCTTTTCTAGAAATTTCATCTAAATGGAATCATACGACGGACGTGTTGTCTTTGGGGTCCGCCTTCTTTTCCGACATTTTTTCTTCCATGCACACGCACGCGGGATGGGAACATTCAACACTAGAAAGACATCAAATCTCCCTCCAACTTATCGATCAGCTAAGCACAACTCTGATCCAAGTTCCACCCGAATTTTTGTCAGAAACCGGAAGTTCATTCTAAAGATCACATGAAACAGAAGACTCCACCAGAACAGCAAAGACGTTTAGGAAACAAGAAGAAGGAGCAGGAGTTGGGATTCCCGGCCGGGCAGGAAGACACCCTGAGAGTGACAGTAAATCAGACAGCGAGGCGGGACACAGAGGCCCCTCTAACCGCTCGTCACATGGTTTCCTCCTCGTACGTTATAAAGGCCACTCATATCCAGCGACCCAGCTCTGCTCTTGGCGGTGGCCCTGGACGGGTCACCCTCCACACGCACGGGACACGGAGCGAAGGATCAGAGCTCCCTAAGGAAGCCTCTCCAGGACGAAGCTGAAAGCAGGCGGCACGGCTGGTTGCACACTCTCGGCCCCAACCCCGTCCCAGGGCACATTAGCACCGGCCCGCCAGCCCCCCCACCGTCCCCAGCTTCACGAGCCACCGGAGCCCAAGAACAGAGCCGTTCCCTGTCGCTCCTGTTGCTCCCGTGCACTCCTGGTGGACAAGACAAACCCTCAGACACGAGCAGAGCTGGGAAGATTCAGGCGTGCACGGTGAGCACGCAAACCGCCCTCTTAACTCTCCTCCTGGCTCAGAACGGCCAACCTCACGCCCGCGGGAACCGGGAACGTGGAGAAAAGACAGACATCGTGACACCGACCTGTGTGCGAGGCCTGGCCGTCTCCAGCGCCGCGGTTCAGGAACCAGACGTCTGTCCCCTGGGAAGAAAAACGTAACACGTTAGTCGAGCATCACGTGGCCAGAGACGTGGGCATTCCGGCAGGCGTCAGACGACCCTGATGATCGTTTCCAGAGTCCTGCCTCTTGCTTCCTCTGCCAGACTCCGCGGACAGCACAGGTGGGGAGCCTCGCAAGGCAGAGACGTTAGATTTAAGAAGGCGGTTTGCCTCCTCAAAGAAAGAGTTCTCTCTCCTTCTTAAAGAAAGAAAGACTAGAGATTTACGACATTATCCTTTTAAATTTTCCACATCTTCCAAAACTAAGTTGAAGGGAAGATCGGGTGTCTATATGACGTTTTTTAGTTTATAAAAGATGTTTGCCTTCATTGTTTGACCCTCAAGGTCCCCTGGGAGGACGAGGAGGAGACCGCGTGAACCCTCTGCCCCCGGGGGGACCAACCCACCGAGCTTTGCCTAGGGAGACGTGAGGGCTAAGCGTGCTGTGGGGTCCTGGACCAGGTCCTGAGGCAGAAAAAGGGACATTCGGGGAAAACGAGTGAAATTCGAATACAGAACGGAGCTGGGTTCACGGAAACGTGCCCGTGTCCATCTCTCGGTCATCACAAATGCTCTAGGTCATAGAAAATATGACTATTAGGGGAAACTGGGGGACGAACAGACAGAACTCTCTGCCCTATCTTTGAAACTCTTCTGAAAATCTGAAATTGTTCTAAAATAAAAAAGTTTATTTAAAAATAACTCCATAAAAAGAAATGGAAACGCTGGTTCCTTGTCTCCGAGTTCAGGCGGGTTTGTCAGGATGCCAGGATGGAGAACGGAAATCCCCACCATCACCTGCAGGTGGCGCCATTGTCTCGGGAACGCCCTGGACCACCTTTGGGATCCTGCAGCTTCTAGGATCTCGCAGGGTCTGCTCTACCGGGCCCATCACTTCGGACAGGAGCTGCTGGGACACTGAGGTGACAGGGGGCCCGGGATGAGGGATGAAAGGGCCGGATCAACACGCCCACGGACCTGGAGGCCAGGACTCGCCTCCACCTTGCAGCGACTGTCTACGCATTCGATCCTTCAACTTTTATTTCTGAATCAGTTAAAGACCCCCGAAAAGTTGCCAAACTATTACAGAGCCGTCTCATGCACCCTTCCCCCCCGCTCCACCAAGAGGGGTCCTCACACAACTGGGGGATGTTATCAAAACCAGAAAACACAGTGACTGATAACCTAGGAATCACCTTTTCAGAGTCTTACTGAGATGCAATTCTCAAGCCACACAATTCAACTATTCAAAGGGCACAGCTCAGTGGCTTTTAGGACATGCAAAGTGTTGTGTAACCATCACCATAATCTAGTTCCAGAACATTCCATCATCCCAAAATGAACCCCTCTCCCCAGCAGTCACCTCCACCCCCTCCCCAGCCCCTGACACCCACGAGCTCACTCTCTGTCTGTGGATCTGCCTGTTCTGGACGTTTCACGTCCGTAGGGTCACACACCGTGTGCCCTTCTGTCTGCTTCTCTCCCTGAGCGTCGTGTGTGCAGGTCCGTCCACGTGCAGCCGTGTCAGGGCCTCGCTCCTCTTCACGGCTGCATAATATTCCAGCCATAAAATTATAACAGATTTCAAGTCAGCGACGGCAGAGGCCCAGGGCTTCCAACCCCACAGACGCCGCCCCAGGAACAACTGACGAGGCGGGGCGGATGAACTCAGCCAGGAACGACGAAAACCCAGGTGGGAAGTGACAAGTGCCGAGAGGGAGAAATAAATCACATGCATGGGAGACAGACGTAACTCACAATGCTGGCTATCAGGGCCGCCCACGGGGGAAGGAGTAACCCTCACTCTTGTCACAGGCAGCTCCTCTTATGGCCTCGACCCCCACCCCATCCACTGGCTTTCTTCTTCTTTTTAAAATTGCGATATAATTCATACACCATAAAACCCACCCTCTGACAGTGTCCAAGGCAGTGGCTTTTAGGATATTCACAAGGTTGTGCAAACACCACACCATCTAATTCCAGGACACTGTCGTCGGCCCCCTGCAGAGACCCTGTGCCCATCGGCATCATGCGGGTCAAAGTTGTGTCTCCTCTGGGAATGGCGAGATCCCAAATAGCAAGAATCACGTGTGTTTTGCTTGCCATTGAGATTTACCTTTCGGGGAGCCTGGCCCACAGCAGGCGCTCAATAATTCTCGGGATTTTGCACAATCTGGTCGGGGCTAAGGAAACAGCCTGCAGAGCTGAGAGCATCTTGGGGGCACGGGGCCGACCCCACAGAACTGGGGGACATTGGGCACGTGGCCCTCCCGCCTCGCCTGTGAAGTGGGAACGCTGCCTGAGAAGCCCTGTCCATTCCTGCGGGCCGGGCGCACAGGCTGGGCTGGGGCAAGGCCTGTCACTCAGCCCCTGTTCTCAGCTGTGTCATCTGTCACCTTGAAAAAGGAAGACAAGAAACACGGATCGCAAAGCGAGAGGGCTCAAGGGTCTTCCACCGTCGATTTCCTGCTGGTTTCTCTGTCCCTTGTAATTCTGAAAGGTCTCCACGGACTTACAGCCTAATGTCACCAAGCGGTGGGCGGGGGACACAGCAGGCTGGACCCTCAGCTCCCAAACCCACAGGAGATTCGAAACAGCCAAACACAGGGCAGTGACACTGGATGCTTGGGGAGATGACAGGTCGATCCTTGACAAAGCAAGACGGGCCGGGAAGGAATCAGACCGCTCCGGACCCTTCAGAACCCATGGCCAGTGAAACGCAGGAACCAGCCCTGGCTGCCACGTGATGTCACATCTGGGAAGGAAGCAGGCAAGTCGGGTCCCACTTCGCTAGATCAGAGCTGCCCGAAGTTTTCAAAGGGTCTGCACAGCCGACACATATCTGCAGAGGCCTGGGGTGTGCGAACCCCACTGTCCCTCCAAAGTTCGAGGTCTGTCCCCCCTCGGCACTGTGGACATTGGGGCCGGGTCACTCTCTGGGGGGCCGTCCTGGGCGCTGTGGGGGGTCGAGCAGCATCCCTGGCCCCCACCCACTCAATGCCAGGACCACCTCCAGTTGTGACAACCACAAACATCCCCAGACGTCACCCAGTGTCCCCTGTGGGGAGGAGGGTGGAACTGCACTACAGCTTCCGGAAGCTTCTATTTGAGATTCTGTGCCCATCTCCACACAAGAGCTCATGAGCGGCTGCCACATCTGAGAGCCCTGTTCCCTTGTGAGGGGTAAATCCCTTTTGGGGCAGGACCCCGTGGGCCGGGAGAGGGGTGGGGCGGAGAGATAACCTGAATGTCAACTGTGGACTTTAGTTCATGAGGATGCATCAATGCTCCTCGATTGTTCGTTTTTTTTTTTTTTCTTGAGGAAGATCAGCCCTGAGGTAACATCTGCCACCAATCCTCCACTTTTTGCTGAGGAAGACTGGCCCTGAGCTAACATCCGTGCCCATCTTCCTCTACTTTATATGTGGGACGCCCACCACAGCATGGCTTGCCAAGCGGTGCCATGTCTGCACCCGGGATCCGAACCGGCGAACCCCAGGCCACCAAGGCAGAATGCGTGCACTTAACTGCTGCACCACCAGGCCGGGCCCTGGCTCCTCAGTTGTAACAAAGGTCCCACAGGAACGCAAGATGGTAACACAGGGGAAAGTGTGTCTGCACGTGTCTGTGCGCGTGTGTCTGCACGTGTCTGTGCGCGTGCAGGGGGATGGGGGTGCATGGGAACTCTCTCTACTTTCTGCTCACTTTTTCTGTAACCCGAAAATTACTCTAAAAAGTCCTCTCTGAAAGGAGGGTCTTGCACACATAAATTAGGAGTTATGTCAAGAACCAAGAATTCTGATTTTAGAAAGAAAGAAAGAAAGAGGGAGGAGAGAGCCCATTGCGGACTCACATTTTCCGAGCTGATTCCGCTGACGAGCTGTTGTGAACGGGACTCAGGAGAAGCCGGTCAGTCTTGGCCAAAGGGATTTCCGACGCTTCCCCAGGGCCCCCGCGCATCCTAACACAGGGCGAGGATCAGAATCTCTGGACCACTTGGGCCTGGATTAACGGGCACCGGAGCCACGCGCGGCCCGGGGACCTCGGCGGCCCCACGAGGAGATCGGAGAGCCCTAATGCCCTAATAGCATCAGCCCCGCACGCTCTCCTCAGATTACTCGCAAATCCCATTAGGCTAATGGAAAGCAGATTCTGGCCAGGAGGGAGCTGATTTCCGCAAAGAGAAACCAGCCTGAGCAAGAGACAACCTCATCTCCGTTCCCCAGTCACCGACGAGACTCCTCTGCAGTTCAGCCTGGCCCTCGACCCGCTCCCACCGCCACGCCCAGCCGTCCATCCCGGAGACTCGATCCGCCCCCCAGCTCGGGGGTGAGGCGCTCAGCGAGGTCCGGCACGCATCTTTCTGCTCCAACACCGCCCGGAAAGGGGGACCCGGACACGCCCCTCTCATCCACCCGCCATGCATCCGTCCTCAAAGCTTTGTGGGGAGAAGCATGAAAGCAACGGAAGAAAGTGGACAAAAGCAATCCCAAGGGGGGGTTCCAGAAATCACAATTCTACCCAAAACGTCCTGAGAATGGACCGTGCTCAGGACTCCGAGATGGCTAACTCTCGGGGACATCGCTAAACCCATCACTTCACATAGGCATTGCTTTGTGAAGGCAGGTGGGGTCCCCTTTTTTTTTTTTTCTAGGGACATCGGGCAAATAAACTAATGTCCCCATTTTGACTGATTTTCAGAAATAAGTTTTCCCACCGTGGCAGCTGGTCTCCAGTGACCCCGAGTCCTGACATCCACACCCCTGTGCCCTGTTCTGTCCTCCCACTCTGTAGCAGGGTCGGTCCGTGAGATCAAGAGAATGTGCCAGAATTGACAGGGCATCCCTTCTAGGTCCTAAAAGACACGTGGCTTCCGTGTGCTCCCTCGGGGACCCCTCGCGGCACGGGGAGCCAGCCAGCCGCCACGTCGCGAGCAGGCTCGAGCAGCGCCACTGCAAAGATTCAGGTGCTGAGGAACAGAG